AATCGGCAAATCCGTGACAAACGGAGGGATAAAATCCCAAAACGGTACACCTGTCCATCCAATTCAGCAATTTGATGGTAAGATTTAACAGGAACTAACGGAGGAGGGTAAATTTGTCACGGATGTACCAGTCTGAAAATTAATTTTGGGATAAATTTGATACGGATTGTAAAGGGATTCTTCGTGATATTAAAACTTTAAATTATTAAAAAAATTTTTAAATAAAATAATCATGGAGGCGGAGGAACAATGATCAATGCGCGGGGGGAAGACATAATAGAGGAGAGCAACAGGCAGGGCAGAGGCTTTGCGTGAGAGGATGTGCTCGCGCACTCGCCTCCTCCTCCTCCTCCTCCTACGACCCCTAAAAAGGAAGGGAAGAAGGGGGGTGTGGGGGGCCTGGCCTCACCTCATCTCTGTCTCCTCACCCTTTGTTCACGCGCAAATCTTAAAATCGACTGCGGAGAGATCGACATCCATCGATGGATGTCGATCTCTCCGAGGCTTTTGAAAATCGTGTAAACCCCCGTCATCCGTCCCATCCCAATCCCAATCCCAATCGCATCAGTCAAACCCCCGCCCTTTCCCCCTCCCTTCGCAATTTTTCGTACGTTTTGGAATTAATAAATGCTTTTCTCATGCACCGTCCCCCATTCAAAAAATAAATATATAAAAAAAACAAGGGGTGGCCCCTCGCTCGCTCTTCGTATTTAAAATCGCCAATTCGCTTGACTTTTGGAGAAAGAAAAACCGCTTCGTTCGAACCGGATCATCGAGGATGGCTACGTGCGTAGGCCTCGGAAATTAAGGAATCGCACGCTATTCCTCCACCGCAGAAATTTGATCTTTTCTTTTATTTCCCCGGGTTGGAACGAAAAGGACATTTATTTATTATATACTCGCGTTCGAACTTTGCGTAGACATTTCCTATCGTTCGCGTATCTCGACGTCGCGGAAATTCGTGACGCCGTGCATCACGTGGGGGGGAGAAAAAGATTGGGGCATTTCACCAACCCAGTCGCACGAGTCGCGGTTCGTTGCCCCTCATCACCACCTCATGATTACGGCGTGCCGGTATATCTAATCGGATACGTCAAAGCGTAAGTAATTTCATGTTCCGGGCATATGCGCCGTGGACCTTTTACCTCCCCCTCTCGTCAAGCGTTTCGTGTTAAATGAAATCCAAACCGCAAATGGGTACGGAATTTGCGAACGTCCCAAACAGGGACGTACATGCCTACGGGAAACGAAAAGCGAATCGGTCGCGCGGTGTTTTTATGGGGTGATTTCTTTGCCTTTACGATTATGAAGTTTTTGTATCCAAAAGGATGACGGCACGAACAGCCCATGAATTTTAGCTTAATATATAATATGATCCATGAACTTTTAATTTGTTCAATATAGTCAATGAACTTTAGTTTAATGTTGAATGTAGTTCCTGAACTTTTACTTTGTTCAATGTGGTCCCTAAAATTTGTATACATGTTTATCGTAGTTCGTGCCTAAACTATATGAAAATGTTGGATGTAGGGACTAAATTGAATATGTACTAAAAGTTCACGAATAAAATTGAATAGATTAAAAGTTCATGGACCATATTGCACATTGAGTTAAAGTTTATAGACTATATTGAATAAATTGAAATTTCAAAAACTACGTTGTAGGGATTGTCTGTGTCATTCATATTGTCATGCCACGAGATTGCGCGCTGGTCCCACTCGATGGGATCACCATCATTTGTGTTAAGATGAATATGTAGTAGCGGTGACCACACGAATAATGGCGAAATCATTTTCCTACCATCGAGGAGATGGGATGGGGGGGGAGGTCTTGGGGAGGAAAAGGAGAGGGACGCGACACGAGACTCGTTCGGAGCCATTGGCTTCCAGCAGGAGTGATGATAGGGGAAGGCAGCGATGGAGACTCGAGGGAAGAGGAGGAGAGGGCGAAAAGCTGTAGCTCTTCGCCTGGCCCCTACCTTTGTCCATGGAATGCAGCCATTTGCCCCCCCTCCCTTACGTACAACCCCCCCAAATATATATCTAATTTCTGTAAGTATTGATGGAATTATGTGATCTTACCACGTGTAGGTGTAGCGCGCTCGACGCTCTGCTAATGCATATTTCGCTTGGTCCTCCTCTCGCGCGATCATTACATTGAAATAGTCTCGTCATGACTTTGAAATGGATTGAGCGAATCTCTGTCTTTTGATTTAAAATGATTTCGACCATAACTTTAAAATACATATGAAGTGGTTTTCCGGGAAATATTACTTTGCCGCGAGTTTTAGCGTATTGGCACTTCGCTTACGTAGTTACACGCTCGGTATCGTTGAAAGAGTCGAATCCACCGGTTGGGAGTTGTTCGGACAATAATAACCACTAATTGAGTTAAATCATATGTTGGCAATCGCATGTGTTGACTAATCTTAAAGGCGTTTGACAATATCTAAACATAGTGCGTCAGTTGTCTACATGATACTTTTGTTAAATCTCCATGCCCAGATCTGAAGGGCCTACTGCGGCCGGGTTTACACAAGGAAACAAAACAACTATCACGCGACTAAAGATGAATCTAGTACGAAACCACTTGTCCTAGTCAAATAACTTCACGATCTTTTCCCTCCTCTGTCTTGAAAAATTGAAATAACCATGCTAGCGATTTTCGATCTAAATTGATCGGATGGGCTACAGTGAAAAATCCTCAGAAGTTTTAATGAAAGTTTATGGTTATGTTGGAATCGGTACGATAGGATTAAGATTTTTTGGACAACTTTCTCAATATAGGCGTTATTTGAGAGTGAGTTGATGGATCGAAGCAAGCAAATTCTATTTTTCTAGGAATGCCTGAAAATTAAGATCGAGAGAGAAATAAGCTAGACGAGCAACAACAGATCGATCCCAATGATGGTCTGAGGTTCGCCTCATCTGATCGAACGATATAACGGGCCGTGTCTACACGTGCCGTGATGGCGAAATCGCTTAAAAAGAGCGTTTACTGTGGAGCAAGAGCCGCAGTGCATCCGGAGCATCAGAATGATGCAAACATCACGTGAGACTTACCGGATTTAATGGCTCGAACCAAGCGAGCTCAAATGTACCTAAGTTAATAGATGATTATTTTTCTCTTACGGATTTTGATAGCGAGCGCTTTTGGAACACTCGTCGAGCATACCAACACGAGGAATGTCTCGATTCTGAAAGATCGTGATTACACATAATACCGAGCAAAGCCCCGCATCGAGAGATGGTTAACTTCTGCCTGCGGAGTATTAGGTAATGAGATTCTTTTCTTATTATAACGACCGACGCGGGGAGGCCACGTCATGGGAAGAGAGGGGGGGCCCCCCCCTCCCCAGAGGAAGATGATGTGGACGGAGGGGGAGGTGACAGCGCGTGCGGGGATATGAGCCCCCGACATCATCAGCAGCAAAAAGCATCTCCGATCCTGAACGAACGACGGAAGATGGATTGGGTGGGATGGGGGCGTGGTGGTGGTGGTGGTGGTGGTGGACGCACCCACCATGCGCCTGCTCCTCACTGCTACGCCCACCCACCATACATCACTGCTGCTCTGCATCTGCATCTATCCGGTTCATGCATTTCTCTGCCCTTTCCCTTAGCAAGGGAAAGCGTAGTTCAATAAATGATACAAGCTTTAGACGACGATGGAAGAGGGGATTCGATCGATCGGTAGGGACAACGGGGCCGTGTCGGCTCGGGAAAATTGCGGGGTCGGGAGGGATCGGAATGGACGGGTCCGTGCATGCCGAGCTAGAGTTCGCTTTCCTCGGGCTCCATGTCACGTGTGCTCTCTTTTTGGTAGCTCGCGTAGCTGCGCTGGGTGGACATCATGGGCGCGGGGGGGTACTTCTTGTGGACGCCACAGCATTTAGTAGGAGGAGATCGTTGCTTCTTCCTTTGTTCCGCCACCACCCGATGGGGGAATTTCGGGGATGTGACGCCTTCCTTTTTGACGGAACGAGCCGTGTGCGTAGCCCATCATCATCATCATCATCATCATCATCCATTTCGTCTTAGCGAAGGGAATTAGGAGGTAGAATAAGATCCCTCCAAATGATTAAATTTACGACCCGAAGGGAAAGTCTTTGACCGGGCTTTTGCTTTGCTTCGTGCTCCTCCTTTCCTTTCTCTCCCTTGAGGTCGGCTTGTGCTTAGCTTTGGTAATGCAGCAGTCAAACCAATCATATCCCTTGAGGTCGGCTTGTGCTTAAGCAAAAGCCTCCTTTTCTTTTGCTTCTTCCTTTTTTTTTTTTTTACATGTGTGCATTTGAAATTACCCACGTGGCTCGATATACACGGGTCTCCATTCATCTGCGGGCTCGAGCTTTTGGGGTCGAACTTTATGATAATGTGAACGATGCTGGATCGTCGAATTCGGTATTTCCCGATCCACTCATTCGAAGGGTCGCTGGCGGTCCGACGGGTCTAATTTCACGAACCGGATTCTGATGGGTCCGGCATTACGCTGTTCTGTCAAAGAATGGGTGGTTAACTGTCAATGCATCGAGCGGACACGTGTCCGGAGTAACCGCCGCTCTGACTTTTGGCCCCTTCCCCCTTTTTTCCCCTCCCTTACTTATGGTGTTGAAATTTGACTTTGAATCTCTCGACCAGTGCTAAAAAATTGCGAGGGACCAAATCCAATTAGATTTTCAAAGCTTCACTTTTCGAATCTCTAGACCTACTAGACAAGGAATCGTTGCGTGCACCGGCTGTCCTAATACATAGCACCCGCTAATATCCACTAATTTATTCTTTTTTCTTCACCATCTTGTTGACACGAGACTCAGAAGCTTCTTCAAATTTTTTTCTTTTTAATGTTTCATCAATTATTCTTCTAAGTTTAGCACTGACGTGGAGCAGACCCTCTTTTTCAGCAGAGCGACTGCACAACGCTCAAGAAGAAAACTTTGAAACGAACTCTCGCACTCCCATCCGCTATAAATAACCCCCGAGCGGGACTCAGAAGACAGAAACCAATACTCTTTCCATCATCAAACAACTCTCTCTCTCTCTCTGTTGATTCTCTCGCTACTCCATCACTTCTCGTTGCCGCTTCAGAAACAAAGAAGCACAGCGCACAGCACACAGCACACGGAACTACAATGAACAGCAAGCCCAACAGCAGCACATTATGTCCTCACCAAATCCCTGTCGTGGACCTCTCGAAGCCGGACTCCAAGAACCTCATCATCAAGGCCTGCGAAGAGTTCGGCTTCTTCAAGGTCATCAACCATGGCGTCCCGTTGGATTTCATCTCCAGGTTGGAAGAAGAAGCCGTCAAGTTCTTCTCCTTGCCTGTTCCCGAGAAGGAAAGGGCGGGCCCCCCTGACCCTTTCGGCTATGGCAACAAGAAGATTGGCCAGAACGGCGATGTGGGTTGGGTCGAATACCTCCTCCTAACGACCAATCCCAACTTCAACTACCACCAGCTCCCGCCGGTTTTTAACGAAAACCCAGAAAGATTTCGGTATAAATTCCCAATACATGCAATCTGGAACTTTGATGTGCTTGTTCATGAGAGTCGAAATTTTATGATGACGAGGACTAAAACTTATTTGAAATCTCCTCATTTTGCAGCTCTGCTTTGGGTGATTACATATCGGCGACGAGGGACATGGCGTGTGAGGTTCTCAAGTTGATGGCCGACGGATTGAGGATTCAACAAAGGAATATTTTCAGCAAACTTTTGATGGATGAACAGAGCGACTCTGTTTTCAGGCTCAACCACTATCCTCCATGCCCAGAGCTTCAGGCTTATGATGATAGGAACATGATTGGATTCGGTGAACACACTGACCCACAAATCATATCTGTTCTCAGATCGAACAACACGTCCGGACTCGAAATATCCATGAAAGACGGGACTTGGGTTTCTGTTCCACCAGACCAAAATTCATTCTTCATCAATGTTGGTGACTCCTTACAGGTACACCCCTTGAACAATCATTTTTCTAATGAGTTGAAAGGACAATTCATTGAAAAAGAATAGAAAGTTAAAAAAAGAAAAGAAAAGGAGGAGAGCAAAGATTCCTTTCCATAACAATATGTTAACTCACTGTTCCCTTGAAAATATGTGTATCAGAGGATGTGTCGCCGTTAAAGTCATCTCTACATTGTCAAGGTTTCTGTTACATCTCCCGACAGTCCTCAATGAAGAAAGCAACACTAGCCCGAAAAATGATCGCCAATTATTTGCGGTCGCTTTTGCATGAAATACAATCTGTACTTTGAGTCTAGTATGAAGATCGTCACAACTCAGAGAGACCTTTTTGACAGTTTTTACAACGATGGGAAAAAAAGAGATTCAAAACAGCTTTCCATGTCGGCTTGTCGTGCTCCATCACCTCTCCCTCTGTTCACGAAGAGACCTTTGACCTGTCAATGTAAACACTGACGCGAGGTGGGGTGGGGCTTTTGGTTTGCAGGTGATGACTAACGGGCGATTCAGAAGCGTGAGACACAGGGTCCTGGCGAACAGCTCGAAGTCCAGGGTGTCGATGATATACTTCGGAGGACCACCTCTGAGCGAGAAGATAGCGCCATTGCCGTGCCTCATGAAGGGCAAAGAGAGCTTGTACAAGGAGTTTACATGGTTCGAGTACAAGAAGTCTGCTTTCGCCACGAGGTTGGCTGACAACAGGCTCGAGCATTTTCAGAGAGTAGCCGCTTCTTGATGTCCGCTGGGGAGTGCCAGATGTCAGCCAAAAAATGGGTTGTAGGAGCGTAACTTTTTATCTTCATTCTGTTCCCCTTTGTCTCTCTGTATTCTTGTTTTTGTTTTTTGCTTTACTTTTCTTGTTCAAACGATGTAAATTACTCTTCTTGTCAAATATCACAAGTAGTCTCCGTGGTCTGCCACTACCTGTAGTAGCTGTAATGTGTATTTTTCAATGAAGTCACAGTCAAAAGTCACCTCTCAAACAAACGTGGAAATTGAGAAAAAGGTTTTTTTTTTTTTGGGGAGGGGGGAGGCCAAGAATGAAAAAATTTCGTTCATTCGTTCTGCTTTAGCCATGAACATTCCATTAAAAGTGTGTTTTCTCTCGTTAAATTAATCATCAGATGATACCTATTCTTGATATTATGCACATTTGAGGAAGAAACAAGTTAAAGCCAAAGAGAATATGTCACGAGATGTTTGAAGTTTATATATCTGTACTTCGAGGACCACTTGACATTTTTCTTCTCATTCCACCGCCGGCTCAACTACCATTACCGCCGGCGCCAAAGCTGCAGGCTGTCCATCGTCCCCAATTAAACTCCTAGATTATCATTACCATTTCTATTAGATTGATAAATCTCTTTCGTCACGAGTTGGTCGGAATAATGGAAAAAACATATCCTTTCGACACCCTTTTTTCTGAAAATGTCTACGGGGAACGAAAGGGCTGCCGTCCGGTATTTTTTTAATCATAGAAAGCCTCCTCACTCGAGACACACACGCGACATCGCGACTCGAAACGAGGGAAACGAGAAAAATCATTTCAGACAACGTGCGGGGGTGCGGTGTCCCTCCGATTTTCAATTCGGTTCGACGATTCACGATTCGTTCCAAAGGACAGACAAAAGGGATTTGCATTAACATGTCTGAGGCACCATCCTCCACATTTCTTTATTACAATATATAATATCATCATCATCATCATCATCCGGGAAAACAGTGCCTTTGGTCGCTGGTCCAGTCAAAAACCTAGGACCTCAAAAATGACAATAAAAACAGAGCATTGCGTTTCGGATGATGAAGGGGGGGGTCTCGGAGGGGCACACAGTTGGGAGGGAGGGAGGGAGAGAAAAACCATTATTAAAATCTTGTGGGCTCTTCTATTGTCTGAAAGGGGACCACTCCCTCCTCCATCTCTCTCTCTCTCTCGACGAAATGGTCAGCGTCAGGCCCGATGAGGATCCATGTCAAAAGGAGAGGGACTTCACATTCTTGGACGCCTTTTCTCCCAGTTCCGCCCACCTCAGACTTGCAGAAACTTCCTTGCTCCATGTACTGTCGCAGTCGTTCGATGGCTCTTCTCTCTCGTCTCTCTTCGCCCACAGATGCAAGCCTCGAAATCTGGTCAAATTGGAAAAGGACCATCCCGATGTAACTCCCCTTTGATTACAACGATAGAAGCGCGATTGACCGTCGCCTTTGAACGATGGCAACCACGTCACTTAAGCCGCTATGGAGGAATCGATGGGCGGTTTTATCTGCAATTTGCTTAGATGATGATGGTGATGCGTGGTTGGTATTTTGACTTGGAAGATTTGTAGAGTATCTGGCCATCCAAGACTAAGACCCCGCTGGCCTCTCGACCTTCATCGAGCTCTCGTAAATATGATTGAGACACGTGTAACACGGTTGTCAACAAATATGAAAAACTTTCACGTGGCACAAAAGAATCAAAGTCGGACCATAGAATAGCACATCTACAGCTCCTTCTATATAGGTTTTTTGCAGGACAAACATTAAAGGCGTAGCAGCTGGTCCACTCCAAATGATGCAAGTGAGGGTCCGTTTAATTCGACTTTACAAATAGATCTTGAAAAAATGCGAATTGCATTTGATAAAAAATCATTTGTAAAGCTATTTTGACTTAAGTAATATTTGATAAATTTTTTTTTTTTGCAAAGGGCTTTTGGGTTTAATTTTTCGTTTTTCTTATTAAAAATAATTAAATCCTTCACCGGAGCACCGACAAGCTAGATCTGTTGCTGCGACCTTGCCGGCCCCTCTCTGGCTACCCTTATGCAACAAAAGATGAACACTAATAACGAAGGGCCAAATCGGAAAATTATAGAATTGATGAGGATAGTTTTAGAAGAAAAAGACTCGTTTCATCGTCCGGCCAAAAGTTGAAAGCCCAATGTTGGTAGGGGCCGAACCAAACGCACCCCTTAGTCTTATATCTAGTACGAATTCTAAACTTCTAGTTTTGTCTTTTTGGGTCGACGAACTCTACACTTTCGGTTAGAGTTGACACATAGCTATCCCTCACGAGAGTGTTTGTTATCTCTTCACTGGGAGATGAATCTACGAACGACATGTGTGCGTGTGGGGGGATCTTCTCCTCCTCCTCCTCCTCCTCCTTTCTCGTCACATGTCTGTCTGACCAAATTGCAGAGGGCGACGTTTCTGTATCGAAGACTGATCCCAAAGTCACATGTTCCGTCCGACCAATCTCGCTGGACATTCTGGAGTGGGATCTTTCCTTCCAAGGCCCTTCTCTCCACTTTGATTCCCTCCAGAGATTGCTTCTGACACCGAAAGTCTCTCTTCTAACTGAAAATAAGATTTGCAGATGTTGGACCCAAATTATTACATTGCTCAAAAGTTCATCTGCGTAGGCAACAATGTAGAATAAGAGTAGTAGACATGGTAAATGAAACAGAAAGTATTGATCAGCAGTTAAAGAAAAAATAAAAAGGGGGGAAAAATTCGACCTCATATAAAGAAAGAACTAGACCACAGTGAATATCCACAAACAATCATATTTTTCCATGCATTGCATATTACGGTGTCAATCCTACCCGCCACAAAACAATTTCATTTTCATCCGGAGTTACGTGGAATTGAAATGACCAGATTAACCGAGTTCCCTTCTACGCAAACCGTGAACACAGAAAGACAGTTAAAAGAAACAGACCACGGGTTATAAATTTTGAAGAACAGTGACGCAACGCTGGTACAAACGCATCATGCCTAAGCAAGTAAGCCCCTATTATTACCCAGAATCTATTCAAACCACACATAAACATCTGTGCCTATGCGAGCTTAGCTAGGTCTGTCAGCTCGGAGAAAGCAATTTACATGACTCGTACACTACGCGACCGTGATGACATGGCACGTAACAGATTAACCATCATTGCCCGCGTTGACACGTGCCGTGAATTCCATCCTACCTAGCCTTCATGTGTGCACGCATTCCACGTTCGATCAGTCGGTGACCCGTGATACATATATCCATCCCATGAAATACCTCCTCTGCTTCCGATCGTCCAATTTTTACCAAGTTTAGTTGTTGAACTTCTGGGCCCGGATAGGCAACCGGAACAGCCTTCCAGATGCCTGGTGGGGCCTCGTGGATTTTCGGATCGCGAGGCCCATGATTATAAAAAAAAAAAGTGGCCAATAATTATTTCCTCCTAAATTCCAAGACATAAAAATCCATGAAAACCGGTTTATTATCTCCCCCCTAAATTGAATTTAAGAGGCCCAAGCCCAATACAAAGCCCATATCCATGTTTCCGGGTCGGGTCAGCTCCAATTCTGAAAAGGAAACCTTCTTTCTTCTTCTTCTATGACTTTCCCCTTTCTGCAAAACCCTCGACGACATCAGAAATCGTTTGGAGAGGGAGACGGGGAGACGGGGAGACATCGATCTCGTCCCAGCGCTCGTCGTCTTGGTTTGGAGCTTGAGAGAGGAGGAGGAGGAAGGAGGAGAAGAAGATGGGAGAGCGGAAGGTGCTGAACAAGTATTACCCGCCGGATTTCGACCCTTCGAAGCTGCCCAGGGCTCGGCGGCCCAAGAACCAGCAGATCAAGGTCCGGATGATGCTTCCGATGAGCATCCGGTGCAACACCTGCGGGAATTACATCTACAAGGGGACCAAGTTCAATTCCCGGAAGGAGGACGTGATCGGCGAGGTCAGTGCAACTTCGATCCTGTTTTTCCCTTTTGTCGAAGTCTGTGAAGTTTTTTTGGGGGGGTTTTGTATCTGTGGAGTCGGCTTTGTTCTTTAAGAAATTCGAAAAAGAATTTGCCTGATTCGAGTCGTAATCAATATGGTATTGCCAGAGTTATTAACTAGAAGGCGAGACGCGAAGAATCGGAGAATTACGGATGGATGTACAGAAAGAGCTTAATTGTGTGAACCGAAAACTCGACATTGCTATCGCAAGAATTACAAACCCTTATGGGCAACCTAATATTCTTGCAGAATTTATAGCTGGACAGTTAACGAATAGAGTTTTATTTGGCAAAGCAATAAAGGGTGTTCTTTCGATTTCGCAGACGTATTTGGGGATCCAGATATTCAGGTTTTACTTCAAATGCACCAAGTGCTCTGCTGAGCTCGCGATGAAGACGGATCCGCAGAATTCGGATTACATCGTGGAGTCAGGTGCGACAAGGAATTTTGAGCCCTGGCGTGAGCAGGATGAGGTAAAAGATTGTGCCTTTTGGGTTTCTTAAGAGTTTGTTGGACTCTGGAAAGAATTGAACGTGACTTGTGCATTTTCATTTGGGTTTGGGTAGGTGTTGGACAATGAGAAAAGGAAGAGAGAGGCTGAAGAGATGGGCGATGCCATGAAGTCCTTGGAGAATAGGACGTTGGATTCTAAGAGAGAGATGGATATTCTTGCTGCGCTCGATGAGATGAAATCCATGAGGGTAAGTCCTTTCAACTTTGTACAATCCATGAAGATCTAGCCAATTGATTTATCACCAAATTAGCGGATAACAGAATTGATTTCCTGTCTTGTGTTGCTTAGAAAATTTTGAGTTGTTGTGATACTAACTGGAGAGTAAATGTTTTTTCAGTCTCGACATGCGACTGTGAGCGTAGATGCAATGCTAGAGGCCTTACAACGTACATCTGCTGCAAAGGTATGAGTTGTTTTCCATCGGCTTTAATCGAGCCTTCTTCTTGTGGAATATTGTGACGAAGTGTCAAAGGTCCTTTTATGTGCTCTTGCATCAAGGATTTAGGGCACTTTTACTGCTTAGAATTCACATCATCATTGTTGACCTGTTTGTACTTGTTGCATCTACTTCTGGGTTGCATTCATGGTTGTGTCTATGACTTCATTGTCAGAACTTTTACTCCATGAGCTCGAACTTGAAGAGTTTTCTCCATTTTGTGGTTGAATTTCAATCCTGACTTTGTTGGTTTGACAGGAAAAGAAATTGGAGGAAGAGGATGAAGCGCTTATTAAATCGATAGTATTCCATGTTAGTATTAAACCTCCCTTCTGGTTTTGATTTCTGAGGATTTTACCTCTATTTTCTTCTCTCTGCATTTCACTGGACTATTTTTCATTGATTTTTTTATTTGTTGCTTCCCTGAAACTTTCTTGTAGACATCCAAAGATTATGTCCGTAGGATCGAAGATGAAGATTCTGAGGATGAGGATGAGGAAGATCTATCTCCACCTTCTGCTGGTAATGACGAATCAGTGAACAGTACTCTCAAGGTCAGTAATGCTCTAATTGTCAGTATATTTGCTTCCTTGTCGGTTGCGTGGGAATATGTTGAGAACACTCTTGGTTATTGAATCAGTGAGTTATGCATAAGTTCTAGCTGAACTTTTGTTTGCTTAATAATGTGCTCACGTATTGGTTTATAAGGTGTATGTGTTACTTCAATATACGAATAATCCCTGGATAGATAAAAAAGTTTGAGCTCTTTTGAAGATTCTCTATTGTAGATGCTCTGATTTTTGTGATCATCAATCCCTGATATGGTATGGATTGAGTTTCGCTTGTCCTACTTTACATGCATTCGATGTATATGCATTAGGAATGTGATCTGCATAGGATGATTTTCTTTGCTTAATCCATGTCACCTTATGTGCTTAATCTGTGTCATGTGTATCGTCACACATTTGCATGTTCTTGAAGAATCAGTAACTTCGAAGAATAAGGAGTTATGAAAAATTACTTGAGAACTTTCAGGACCTAATGAGGGATACACCAAGAGATTTTATTAAAGTTCTTATATCATAATCCGTGGATAATCAGTCGTTAAGCATAAAACGAGTCTGTTAACTGCCAGTACGTGTTTCGACCAAAAAAAAATTGCCAGTACGTGCATATATTTCCAGCTCTTGATGAAGGGCTTGATTTACTGGTTTGCTGTATACACTGTCAATAAAACTGATAGTACCTCGATTCTGAAAAAGCGGACATGCTTTATGGTTTAGATTGTCTTCCATGTGCTTTCATGAAGCTTCTCAAAAGATTTACTAATCTTTTTTAAACCTCCCCTCTACCTAAGAACACATATTACCAAGTTGTTTCTATTTTTTTCTGTGATCTATTGGGGTTAATTGTTTTTAGTTTTTTGGATTTGAGGTGTATAAGTTGTTGATTTAATCTGGAAATGTCTTTTGTTGTTGGGGCCTAGAGAAAAGCTTTCTTATATGCTTGTTTGATTTGAAATGCAGAAGAAAAAGTTGTCTGAGGAATTTCCGGACAAGCCAACAGATTTCTTGACAAAAGCTACTTCAAGTGACATCTCAAATGACAAAGGTATGTCACGTTTTCCGAACATGTTTTCTTCAGTTACATTAACTCTTCTTGGTTGGGATTTATGGTATTATCTTCTCTCTGAATGATGGATATTTTGAATAGATAGGTTCGGCACTTTCCTTTTCCTGCAATTGCTTTGGATTTTATTAAAGTTCTGACTCCTTTCGTGCATGTAAACTTGACTATTAGAGAGTAGCTTTCGCCATGTGATGGTGGAAGTTTCTGCGAGTTTTCTAGTCACCTCTTTCCATCATGCTGGTGGTTTTTCTGTTTTCCGTTAGAAATGGATATTTCTTGGTTGTTACATGAGGATCTATAGTGTTTGCTAAGCAAATAAGTATCTCATTGTTCACTGACTCATTTGTTTGTAATGTTATCAGGAAATTTTGTTGGTTCGAGAGACCAGAGCGAGAGAAAACTGCTTGTCAATTCTTCTGTGCGGATTGCTGTAGTAAAGAAAGCTGCTCCAACCTCCAGAATTAGTGCTTCAGCAAAAATCGAAGAGACTAAAAAAGAAGCGGATAAGAATGGTGGTCTAAGCATTGGACTACAATCATTGTGTCAAAGCTATGGAAGTAGCGACGATGACGATTGAATTTTGGGTTTAGGTGCAAATGATATGATTCATTTTCTCTCTGTATTAGTAGAAAGCTTTTTCAGCTCGCTGGTAATTTTATGATTTAAGGGAATATAAATGTGAAGTCTATGCACGACAACGATTTTCCCATTAAAATTTTCTTCTGGGTGCATACTTTCCTTACGGTTTTGCAATCTACATTGGGCTTTTTGTTCTCAACACCGGACTGATATAATAGTCAGATTCATGACCTGTTTTTGACCAACACCAGCCAGAGAGTTGAATAGGGCTCCTAATTAAATTTAACACTTTGTTTTTCGCTGGGTAATTGTTTCCCTCTTGAACGAGCCAGTTTGGTATCCACTGCACGGCCATTAAACTACGATAATTTAGAAACATACTGGCCTCAAGTAATTGCCCACCATTTCTTTGGGTGATGATCGCTGGGTTCCCGTTAAATAACTGTATGTAAGTGTGATTTGCCGCCCTAGTCGGTGGTTTATCACGAGAGATTGGTTTCTTAGAATCAAACTCACAGAATGTCAGAATGGCATTACATTATGAGTATCCCTGGTTCAGGATTCTGTCAAACAGGAGCTTGTGCACTGAGGATTGGAAAATATCAAAACATGGGATTTGTAGTTTTCATCTGGAATCAGTTGCTCATGTTGATAGCCAAGATATCTAAGTCTTATTGTTCCACTTTCTCAAATATACTCCGGATGAAAATTGCATACATTCTTCCCCCACATTCTATGTACTCTAGAGTCTCGGTTCACCTTCTCGAGTCAGCAGGAATCTGAACTTGCAGATAATGATATCTGCCAGCGGATCAAAGCTTGACCTTAGAAACAGAACAAACGATCAAGACAGATATCAGAACTCTCAAACAAATTGAGCAGTGCCATAGTGGTTTAGGTTTGGTTTCGATACCAGAGATATACATGCACAAAGTATGTCACTGAAGAGAACAATAAGCACTAGCACTTCGAAACCCAAAAGACTGACAGGCACCAATTTTCCTCGTTTTCAACCATTAATGACACCAAAACCAAATAAGGCTAATGGAGTACAGAGATGATGCATCACTTCTGGCCCTTCTTCTTCCACAAATCTCCGAACATTCTGATCCCAGAGTTCTTCTGCTTTCCACCTCCAAAGCCGTCGTCCAGATGTTATCAATATTCCCTGGTGACCCCCATAAAACCAGCATAACCTGCACGAGACACCTCAAGAATGCCTCCGAAATGCTTATCCATCGAACCTCATCTTCCTGCAATCCTCCCATTCATTTCAACACTACTGGCAAGAACAGTGGCTGCCGCATCTGCTGCTTTCCTCCACTGCTCAGTCTGCACCCTCAGCTTCTTCATCTCCGCTTCTAGTTCTTCTTTAGCTCCTTCCACAGCTTCTAATTTCTCCTTTAATTGAATGTTGTTTTCTTTGCTCGCTTTAAGTTCCTCTTCTAGCTGGCTCAGCTTTGTGGCCATTTCTTCTTCTTTGCTCTGAGCAGAAGATATTGTCATTGTTGCCTCGTCTAGTTGCTTTTTCAGGTTTTCGGTTTGTTGGCCGACTACTTCAATTTCCCTCTCCTTTTCTAGTAACTTTCCTTTAAGAAAATTTATCTCATCCTCCTTCTCAGCCAACTCAAGAAGGTGCGAGGGGTTTCTCTGGCTCCACAAATGCAGGTGGCTCTGCTGGTAAGTCAATTGCTGTTGTTTCCTTCTCTATCTCATCGTTCAGTTGGCTGACCTCTATTTAAGGCCCAAAAGCAACCTCCTTGAATGGTACTTCAAAAACACCAGTCTCCTGCTGGTTGTCATCAGGAACATCATTCAAAGGGTTGCTCTTTGTTTTGTTTGATTCTTGAGCTTCTTTTGCATGACGCTTTTCAGGGATGTCGACCGAGTCTGCTACAAACTTTTTCTTGGTTTTCTTTTCAAGCTTCTCTCAAGCTACTTTCTTTGCAGCCTCAGCTGAGGCCAATTGCTCTTTAAGATGCTTCAGCTCTTCTTGAGCTTGGCTGAGCTGAGATTCCGGATCCGCAATGCGAGTTCCAAGTTTCTTTTAATTAACAAAATCGGATTGTACACCTTGTGGAACGGCGATCTCCTAGCTTAGGGCTTCGGTTAGGGATGGGGCCATGGTGCAAGTTATCAGAATCAGAGCTTGAAGTTCTGAGCTGAAGTGAGCCTCTAGGAGACTGCCTCTGAGGCACTTCTGACCCCCTGCTGTCATGATAAAAAGCATGAGTATCTTGTGAAACAGTTGAACAATCTCATGTTATCATTTGAGTAAGCAGAAGCTGAAACACACGAAACAGACTTCCTATCAATTCAAGTTAGCAGATTGCTGAAGACTAAGCTGCATCACATTTATAACCATATGGTGGAGTGACTGGGAGAGAATGTACTCTTTCGTTTTCATTCTATGGAAATTGCCATACAATCCTTTGTCTCAATCAAATCAGTGTTAACTTTCATTTAGGAACATATTATGTGCATCTCTCTCACATTAAATCTGTTAAGCCGCGTTTAAATACCAATGAACTACCGAATTATGACCAAACAAAACTGCACAAATATATACTAACAGAGATTTTGATTGCATGTGAAAATGGATATTGTAGTTGACTTGGAGCGTGTAGGCTTCGCTTTAAAGAAGTAAAACTCCTTACCGTCTAAGACTATTGGAAAAAGTATTTTGAAGTAACAAAAACTTATGAAAAATCATAGAAATGTAAACATCAATATTTTTATATTTTGAAAGTTTTCAATTGTTCCGCATTATATAAAAGCTAAATTGTGAAAGCTGCAAAAAAGGGGGGAAAAAGGTAAGAGTGGAAAGTAAGAATTTAAACAAACAAGCTTTGGAATTTATGGACATAATCAACATAACTATGTGCCTATAGTGACCGTGTGGATGAAAAGGGAACAGAGTGTGGAGCATTTTGCAGCTGCCATGTGGATCAAGCTATTATCAAGTGAATCAAGTATTATTTACATGCTCATTTTAATATAGGTGCCATCATGACAAATAATATAAAATCTCGTAAATTATGCTAAGGTATCTGCATAAAGATATAACATTTGCTGACTTACCTCGGTCTTGGCATTTCTTCTACTTAAGAAACTTTGGGCAAGGATTAGAAAAATGATCGGTCAACAAGAAACACTTGACCTGTAAAACAATGATGGAATCAGCAGGAAGTCACGTGTAGAGCCATGGTCGTAATAGGCAGTTGAAATCCAACAGAAAAGATGTCAACAGAAGGCAATATGTAGAGGAAAACAAAATCTGCACTTGCTATCGACAATATTAGCATCACAGGACAGGACTGCAGGACAGATGGCAAGCCATCTCATCCGAAAACCAAAGCAGAAAAGTGTTGGTCATGTCCAATCCATCGAACTTCTCTTACCTGCTACTTGGTTTAATTCTCAAAAAGGAGAAAACAAAACAACAATACAGATAGCAATGCAGAAAATATTTTGCTCAATGCAAAAGTCAAAGACTTTCCCCAAACACAGAGAGGAATTGGACCTTCAAGCTAACGCCTGCTCCTAAAATCGAAACGCATTCTGGCCGAAAAACTTCACTGCAGAGCCTAGCAAGTTTCCCCACTCTCTGCTGAATGAAACCATCTCATGAGCTGACTCAGCTGAGATAAAGCCGGATGGATAGCAATTTGCTGGGGGTACCAAGAGTAGAGACTCTTTATCTTTCGTCCAAATCGTAAAAAAGATCTAGGTGATTGACTGAAGAAGGCCTTTTGATTCCTGCATTGATTTTCTAGGAGATGATGCATAGGCCTTTATGGGAAGGTGTAAAAGGCATTCACTCGTTTTGCCTCTTTCTCTTAACATATCATCGGCTTTTACAATCACCAAAGCAATTACCACCCTTTTTTGTCCAGAAGTTGACCCAACTTTCCAAGAAAAAGGCAGGCAAATGAATGATGTAGCAAAGCATCGCCATGATAAAAAGAAACTCTTTATGTGCAAAAAGTGATTCAGACGCCCCACCACTCGCGTTTCGCTAGCGAGAGAAAATTTCCACAGGCAGTCCCTTTTGAACTTTGGGGTTGATTCAGTGGATGTCTTCAAAGGACCAAATAGCCTTGACAACCACCTAAGCTAGATCTAAAACTCACAAAGCTTAATACAAAAACGGGTATTTGATCAAATCAAGTGATCCATGCTTAGAACCCCAGAAAAAATACCCAAAAAGAATAAAAGAAAAACTTTCGCATGCACTTCCCTCACCGTAAATGCAAACTCTTCCAGCAGAGCGGACTGGGCTCAGTCAATGCATGCATGGGTTTAGAGTGGAAAACAGCATATTCTCAGTGTGACCCCAAAAGGCAGCATTTTTTTAAGAATGACCATGATCTCAGAAGATGATACCAAGCGCACCAACAGATCAAGCTGGACACAGCACAACCCGTAAGAAAGAAAAGAACGAGGCTGATAAAACGAACAGCAAAGGAAAAGATGTTACCTTTGCTGTGCAAAGAAGCGAGATCTCTGGGGGCGAAAGAAAAGGGCCTTCCTTTATGGTATCAGACCAGCGAAATCTAAAAGGACACCATGATAATGGCTACTTCTCCGACAAATGCAGCCTAGAAAAAATTAGGAACGAGAGAGAGAGAGAGAGAGAGAGAGAGAGTTTAGGCTGCAAAATATAGCGTCAGGTGTTGCTTATAAAGTGACAGTTACATTCGAAGCCCAAGGCTAGGCGGTAAAGAATTGCTCTAGCAAGCACAGAGCTTACTGTTAGAGCTACAAAGAAGCTCTTTTTGAAGTTTTGAATTAAAGCTGTAGTGAGAGGAGAGAGACAGTGTGTGTGTGTGTCTGTGGTGTGAAGCTGTTAAAAAAAAAAATACATGGAAGAGAGATTTTTTTTCCCCTTTGGAGGAGAGGACAAGAGGGTAATTGCAAAGAAAGGTCTAATAATAAATAGACATCCCGAAATGAATCTTGAAAATCCCACCTTGTCCCTTTTGACACCTTTTACTCTTGTCCCCGCTGCTCTTTTTCAAAGTTCAAACCTTCGCTTTCTTTGCACCATATTATATTTCTCTTTGACACTTTCTACTCTTTGTTTGAAAAGGCAGAACGTGGGCGGTTACTGTTCGTTCGCGCCCACACTCGTAATCCCACAAAACAAAACAAAAAACAAGGTAATAGAAAACTTAAAAAAGAAAACTTTCTTTGTTCTTTGTGGCAGGAGACAGACATGTACCCCTGTCTAATTGAGATTCTTGCACTATTTCGATCCATGGCGAGTTCGATGACTGCGCGAAAGAACAGTGTGATGAACATACATTTGAAAAGAGAAGAAGAAGTTGACACTGTTCGGTCTCAATTGAAGGAGAGATTCCCGTTGAGTGTAAACAACGAAACAAGCCCAATTCTCAAGTACTGTATATGGCCAAGCGAAAACCAACACAAAGTACTATACTTCATCACCAAGCAAAGAAGATATCAAAAACTGTGGCTGCTCAGGCCCACAGCAGAAGAAACAAGGAGAAAATTACAAGGGCAGTTCAAATTGCAACTGGTAGACAGATTTCAGACTGTGGGAGGCTGATGGATGCTTGGTCACATTGAACATGGTGATGTGTGGGTGAATGGGGGGCAGTTACCACGGTTCCATCCGCAAAGGGCTAAAACAAGAACGGTAGCTGAACCAGATAATCGATTTTAAGTTGAATCGTGATGATGCTTCTTTTCCCATTCTCGATACTGTTAACCGGGGCATTGAGTATGTATTATTGAATGCAGCGAGGTTTGTCCATAGTGTGAGCCTTGAGGCAGGCTCAAAAGTGATCATATGTTTGACTCAACTGTTCAACTGTTGTCCTGGAAGTACAAGCAACCGCAAAGATTCCAAAACAAGTCGTATCCTTTCATAGATTATAGTAATCAAGGAAGGTTTATATGGACCACAGGGTGCGGTTCTTGGCTCTGTTTTGCTAATAATTGGTGATAATGCACATGCTTACGCATTATTGTCTTGTACCTTTTTTTTGGTTCCCCTCCCTTTTTTATAATGGTCTGCCGAGCGTTGACAAGAGTTTTGATTTCCTGTGGAAGATGGTGGTTGTGGGGCTCTGCTGAGCAGCAGATTGTCTTTTGGAAATGGACCCTTTCAAATTTACTCCATCATCGGACACATTTCTGTGATGGAGCCTGGCGCTTAATGTACGTTCAAATTCCCTTCTGAAACCAAAAAAAAAAAATTGGAGATGATGGACATTGAGCCCCATCACGCGTTCGGAATATTGTCCAAGCCTATTGTACGGCGGCCAATTCAGTTCTAAATATTTTAATTGTGTTAATTTAGTCCGAAACTTATTATACGACTGCCAATTCAGTCATACACCTTTCGATCAAGCTAATTTAATCCTAAACATTTTGACGACTTGTCAATTTAGTCATAAACCTTTAAACGAATTACCAATGGAGTTTTCCAGCTAATTTTGGCCAAAAATTGCGGACGTGGCCACCTAATTAGCATCGATCATCCTACGTGGTGGCGCAAGTGTGTTGACATGGACTATTTTTATTTATTTTTAAAATTTTCTTTTCTTTTCTTTTTTCTTCAACGTGGGCGAGGGCCATGAAGCCCGCGCTAGCTGTGGTGAGGGTTGCGGCCCTTGCCAAATCTAGGTGAGGGCTCGCAAGCCCTCGCTATGGTCGATGAGGGCTTCGCGGCCGGGGCGGCAAATTGAAGAAAAAAAAAGGAAAAGAAATAATAAAAACAAATTGAAAAGTTTTTTAAAAAATTATTTATGTCAGCGTCAGCCGTGCCACGTAGAACAGCTAGGGTTGATTGGATTGTCACGTCGGCAATTTTCGGCCAAAATTAGCCAGAAAGACTACATTTACAATTTGTTAAAATGTTTAGAACCAACTTTGCAAAATCTCAAAAGGTTTAGGAATAAATTAGCACGATTGGAAGGTTTATGACCGAATTGACAAATTGTCAAATGCTTAGGACTAAATTGGTACAATTAAATAGTTTAGAACTAAATTGACTGCCATATAATAGGTTGAAGACTTTTTTGGACAGTTTTCCCATCACGAGCCCTTTTATATGATATTAGGTTGGTGTTTGAACCGAAGAAGATCTTTCCTGGTTGAAGCGTAGATATAAATGTAACCTCACCGGTGCTCGTTAAGTATCAAAAAACCAAGTGTCGATATGAATTCTCCACGAGAGTCTCGCATAAACGTGCCCGGGTTTAATTCGGCGCGATTACCCTCACATACAAAAAATTAATCGGATCGAGAGAAAAATTACTCGGTCCAATCACTAGCGACTAATGATTTTCATCGGTTTCTTGCAGTCGCAGACTAGAGAGGGATTAAGAACATCAAGAGCCTTTTATCATGCAGATGTACTGTGTTCTTGGGAAGATTGTGGTCACGAGGGTTCTTCTTGCTCGTCACATGAATGCGGTGCTGGTCAATTTAATGGCGTGCGGTGGTGAAAGGAGGAGGGTCACAGCGGTCTCAGATTTTCTCAGATTAGGATCATGCCATATGAGAGTTCAAAATCAATGCTTTTGAAAGAGAGAGAGAGAGAGGTGAACATTCAATTCAAGTATTATTGAGAGGCTCTTCCAACCACTACACCGCTGAAGCTCATAACTGTGTTCCCCTCCCCACACTCAATAATGAGTACGCAATGTCCCACGGCAGACCGAAGCAGTTGATTGGGTTCATGATCCGATGGCAACCTTTCAAACCCTGCCATTACTCTCCCCCGTATCTTTTGATACCCATCCATCATGTGACAAGAGCCTCTTTCCTCCCCGTTTTTGTAAAACCATCCACATGCATCGTCTTAACTTCGGTCTTCTATGTCCATTCGAGCTGCGAACGTTGCTCTCGTCCAGGTCATTCCTTCCTTTTTCTGCAGGTCTCTCGCGGGAGCGTCTCTTTCCGCAATCTCAAGAGGTGGTGGACTAGCTTAATGGAAATGACTAGAACGAGTAATCATGCCAAATCAAAAGGGTTGATCGAGTTAGACAATGACTAAGATGTTGCTTTGGATAAGTGACAATCATAAAAGCTCGATTTCTAGTCGATCCTAGTCCATCCAGACCAGATCGCAATGAATGACTGTCTTCCATCTTTCCATTTTCACCGATGAGGATGTTCTCTGCAAATCATAAAGCCAAAGCCGCTCTACGGCTGACCAAAAGGGCCCGAGCTCCATGCTTCTTGCCCACCTAATTGAATGCCAGTCTATCCTAGCCTTTTCGACTCTTTAAGAGAAGTTATTTTTTTCACTTTCAATCTACTCCTCGAAGGAACAAAGAAAGATGCTAAGGTGTATCATTTTTGAGTTTTTTTATTTCCCTTTCAATCTACTTCTCAAAGGAACAAAGAAAGATGCTAAGTTGTATCGTTTTTGGGCTTGGGTTCTTGCCGACCAAGTTTTTTGCCGAACAAGACAGCGGCTTGATGTTGCTACCTTTCCCCTTCCTATCATTCGAACCCTAGAAATGTTGGTTTCCGATTAAAATGCCATAGAGGTAACTGCTTCATGCTTCTTGCTCACCATGTTGAATGCAAGTCTCTCCTCACCTTTTGGGCTCAACATTGAATTTAAAGTCCATTCTTTCGAGAATAAGAGGAATGGGACCACGCCATTTGCAATTTGTGGCGAAATGTTGGGACTCAAAAAACAAAGCGGCCCAAATCTGCCAATCCTACGGGCAGATTTGCATTACGGTGCTCTCCACAGATCTTGGCATATCATAATATGAGCTCTGATTTGTAACCATAGTGCTAACGGATAACATGCAGCAAGAAAGGATGGTTTATGCCATGGTGGAATTTGCATGTCATGATACTTTCAGTGACATCTTCATATCACTGATAAGACACCAAAAGCGATTCAACCCCGTCGGCACAGGATCACGAGGATTATATCTACCGTGTTCATATTGGGATATCTGATATAGCTATATATATATATATATATATATATATATATATATATATTTTTTTTTTTTTGGTCGAAATCTGATATAGCTATTTAAGAGTGCCACTGGACTGCCTTCTCTTAGAGCTGCTATTAGGACTTAACAATGGAGGAAACTCGATTATTACAACCATCACCGTCAAGCTTTCATTTAACTAGAATAATCGGTTCCCCTTTTACATCTGTATACTGAGAATGGAAGAGATGAGAAATCAATACCTTTCAACTTCAGCAAGTAGTAAGCATCTCCCTGTGGCCTCCTCATCAGAGAGACTCGGCTGAAAAATAGCCATGACCAGCATCGCCTGTCCAAGAAACATCAACTACCAACAACCAATCTAATCTAAAATAAAAGAACTACTGCCATGTAACACCAGGTCCACTGGTTACGGCCCGAGCCTCGGCCAGAGAAACTGCCATTGCAAGCATCATTTGCTCCTCGAAACTCTCTGGAACGATGGGAGCGGGAAGACTTTGAAAGCCCGCATCAACTTCATTCGGTTGTGGTAAAGCAGAAATCCCACCCGCGTCTTCTGGTGAATCAGAACTTGCATAGCTGGTTCCCGCTTCAGCAACTTCAGAGCCACGGTCCATGTTCCATTCACCATCATCCCTTGCCATGGGAATCCCTCCCCCATGCGGAAGTTCCGTTCCACCCTCTGGGGCAGCATAACTGCCCGAATCTTGTACCGCAGTTTGGTAAAACGGACCACAATTTGGAAGCACATTGTATGTTGACATAGTAGTGTTGTGGCTAAAGGAGGATTCTCCACTCATCTGTTGCCGCTCAGCAAGGGCAGCTATTGCACAGGCAAGTCCACCAGATGGAGATGATGCTGAGCTCGCCGCCAATGGAGCAGTGGCTTGGGAAACATAGTGATCTTCTGAGACATACTGTTCAGAAGGAGCAGCGTCACTTTGAGCAAGGCCTTTATGCTTGCCATTCTCCTGTTTTTACCGTCAGCAGAATAACGTATCAGCTGGAATAATTCGATTACTCTAGGCACCATGATGCCGCGAACGATAAAAGACAATGGTTTGCAGATTTCAAGGTGCTTAGACATCACTAAAATCACCAGTCGGTTAAAAGACACACCAGATTTACAGCAATTATATCATGCTAAAAAGCAGATCATAAGTCACATTATTTATTTCCAGCCACTATAGTGAAATTTTATGTTAAATTGTGTACTCTGAACAATCAAGTCATCAAAAACAACCATAAGAAAAGTCAATATTACAAATTGACAATACCCATGGATAATTTCTACATATGGTATCACACTGTTATTGACATAGTGTAGCGCGCTAATAAAAGGCCCATGCAATGCGAGCTCCATGCACTTTCCATGAAAATATAGGCTCCACATGATTTGTGCAACATCAAAGGTCCTCTCTACTTCAGCATCGACAAACTAGGACTCTCAAGAGAGAAACTATAGCTTTCACGTGCATTCTAGTATCTTATTTGATAACAAAATCAAACACAATAGTTATCCAAAGATTAGAAACCATGAAGTGAAGCAACTGCAAGTGAATATAGGTTCCGCATTCCCATCATGGATCCAAACACTTTTCAGATGTTATCATCTTGCAAAACGATAATATCCATGCTCAACAAACACCAGTAGTTGTGCAACAAAATTACTCAAATTGCTCCAATGCCTTCCCAGACCACAGAACAATAAATGGTAGAACTGACAACTACAGCACAATAAAATTTATTCTTCAAGGACACTGACCAGACAGTACTAGGAGATGGCGAGAATTTTCTGTATAACCACATTAAGAATATCACCACAGAGCGCAGATTATCAAGAGAGCAACCGCATTTGGGAACCTCATAAAGCATAAATATAAAGAAAGTGAAGCATCTCAATCTTAATAACTACTTTTAGAAATACACATTTCCCAGTGTTGGCATTCCATGTCCAAAAAGCCAAACCAGAAAAATTTCATTCCCATTTTAGCTTAATTTCCATGGCTAACTACAGAATCACAATATCAACAGTTCATTGCTATAAAAGTTCACCTGAATGGAAAGCCAGATTGCTTCCATGACCATTATGTCCTCGAGATCCAGATCAAATTCATCATCCCTGCAAATGACCCAGTGAGATACAGATTTGACTGCCAAAATGACGATATGCAAAATAAAGGGATTTTTTAGAGTAAGATCCTTAAAAACATGTACTTCCTATATGCCACATTTTCTAACGACGCAAATGCATGCCAACCAGTCAGAGCCCACCACTTAAGTTTGACTTTCACAACAAGGCATCTCAAGACAGACAAAAGTGTCGTGGAGAACTGCCTATCATTGAATGAAAGGGCATTAATTGTTCTTCAATGACAACCAACTCATATCTTCACACCCAAAAGGAAAAAGAACTGGGGTTGCTGTCAGCAATAGGGTTGTACTCATTTTAACTGAGAACTATGAATAATTTTTTTTTTCTTTTGAGGTCACGTGCCCGAATGAAATAAAAATATGATAGTCGCAATTCTCAGCCTTGGTATTTTCCAAGAGATATAGTCTAATGATCACGTCCTTGTAGGTTTCATCGAGATCAGATACAGATCCACAATAACAGCCGAGAAGCCCACTTCAGGCTCCGGAGATTTGTTTTTTCCTCATATCTCTTCCTTTCTTTATATTGATATACTTTCTTTTCTTCGTTTCTTTGGGATGGGTGAAACAGGGGCATAGATTCATGTACTTGTAAGAGATGCCATTATAGATGGAATAAATTAACAGCTATCATCAATTTAAGTATCAACTTCCAGGGAGGATAACAATGCCGAGGCCCTTCATACTAAGATCCATAGCAATTTGCCCAATAAGGTTAACTAATTACAGAAACCGTCTTATGTCGTTTTCAACAAGAGATTCTTGGCGTGCCTCGAAATAACATCAGGAAATACTTACCTGTTTGTCCTTAGGTGGGTAGGTTGTCTACTTATCGAAGTAGAACAAGACTGATCAGCAGAAACAATTTCTTCTTCATCTACAGGAGATCTCCTAGATGAAACTGCAAACAAAAATGGACATTTAGCAACACTCTCAGAAGTAAATGCAAGACATGAAAATAAGAGTTCAAATTCCAATGAAAATGTACCTCCAACTGAGCCATGATCAACCTCAACAGGTCCCATAGTTCTGCTTGACGAACTTAAATCTTGTCTCTTCAGCATCCGCTCTTCCTCATCCTGGAGTTCCTTTTGTCGCATCCTGATCTTTGCTTCTATTACACGTTGTTCTTCCTACATAAAGAATGCAATTATTCATTATCTCTAGAACAGTCCCACATTTACGGCGAGAAATGCATTCAAACCACAAGAAGCGTATCTTACGACTTGCTCAATGCCCTTTTCCTCCTTTGTTTTCACACCCCGATATTCCACTGCATAATTCGAGGTTTTGCAAAATGGGCACCTTACATCATTAAGAAGAACAATTGGGAGAAGATGGAAAGAGAATTGAAAAGGTATGTATTGACAGATTCATAGACTATCAGCCAAATAATATTGCTGGTGAGATGGTTAAGATTGAAGGATACGGTGTAGGGCGAGTGGAATTGGGAACCTTCATTTGCAGAAAACACTCTGGTACACAGAAGAGGAATCGCGTCACTATCAGCTGACAATAATTCGATGCAAAATGCAACAGTTACCAGACATTAACCTGTACAAATGCCTTTTGTGCAACATCTGGATCGGTTAAGGCTAGGGTAGTACTGCAAAAAACAGAACAATGGGGAATGCAGAATTAGTGTCTGCCAACAGGTCTCGGGAGTACAAACAATTATCTCCAAAATAGCATTTGCCTCATCACTCAAAGGATCAACACGAAATTAAGGCAAGACAAAGAAAGGCTGACAGATAGAATGTCTTCTCACTTCACACCAAGCTTAGCTTCTTTCCTCTATCTAGAGGACCCCCGAACTAAAAAGTGCATGGAGGTCAAGTAAACGTAGGGGAAAAGAAACTAAAATTCACCCGACAGAAGTGCATCAGGAGAATGGGAGAAGACTAACCAAGAAGCAAATTGGGCATTCTTCGAGTTCGCATGTGCTTTCTTCGTCGCCCGGATAGCATGGGGCAAGCTTGGATTCAAGAATGAGTTTCTTGAGCCTCTTAATGTCGACATCTTTATGATGGTACAGCCCTTGAGGCCTTGTATATTTCTCATCCACTACCTGTCTCCTCCTTCCCAGTTTATTACCCATGCAATACCGTATGGACGACCTCTTCGCTTCTAGCAGGGGAAGGCGGTAAATCTCCTTCCCTCTTTTACGTCCCTCGGCCAAATTCTCAATCCAAAATCAACCCGCGAGCATAAAAGACAACACCGACCAACAAGAACCCCACCCGCAAGGAATTCTACATACCCGCCACCGTCCTCACTTATCAGCTCTTTCTCGAGGAGACAACACGCGCGGGGACATATCCACGCATCGAAACTGCCTAGACACCAACACCGTTATCAAAACGCACAGGCTCGCAACAACGCAAAAACCCTAACTACCGACGGATTTCGCGTGGCGGAGCTCTGGTTTCAGCCCGGCCGGGGACATTCTGCCGCAGGAGAATGTTACAGCAGCCCTGAAACGGAAGTACAGGCTAAATATGACAAGAGACGGAAAACAACCCACAAACGCAAAAAAAGAAGAACAAAAAAAAAGGGGGGGGGGGGGGAGAAGACCCCCAAAATCCAGACGAACGACGGTAAAGAAACCCTAAATTCTTCGGCCAAAGAGCAGCCCGCTCACCGCGAAACCACCAAATTCCAGCACAACCGGGGACGACAGGCTCCGCCGCAGCCCGGAGAACATTCCCACCGCCCGAAGGAACGCCCGAAACCGAGAACGCGAGGAGAATTCGACCCCCCGGGGGACGAGAATCGAGCCCCGGAGCACGGGGGAGCGAGCGGAATTGGGATCGGCGCAGCCGCAGCCGCCCTGAAGAGGGGAAGGACGCGCCGGAGCAAATTCCGCCGGAGAAGCAAGAAACGCGCGCGCGCGCGCCCCCGGCGAGTCCCCCTCGGAGAACGGGCGGTCCCGGGGAATTGGCGGAGGGCGGGAGACGACGGAGAAGGAAGAGAGAGAGAGAGTCGAGATCGATCGAGAGAGAAAGAGAGAGAGAGAGAGGAGGAGGAGGTTTGGTGGCTTTTGCTTCAGCGAGGAAGGGAGCACAGAGACGCCACCGCACACAATCGGGGACTTCCTCCTCCTCTTCTTCCAGGCACCATTAGAGAGAGAGAGAGAGAGAGAAGAGGGTAAAGGGACCGTTCCGGGTTTCCAATTACGTGAAGTTTCTAATAGATTAAGGTTACTAAATATTCTCTGATTAAGGCAAAAAAAATATAAAGGTTACTATATATTTCGAAGCGGAACATAAAACGAATCGACCATATTCTCGTCCCGTTTAGCTTTGCTTTCCCATTTTGGGATTCATCTCGGCGTTCGATTAATGTGTCTCCCAAAAATTAAGGATTAGATATGAGATTTTTATGTCGAGAACGATAGATATATGGAAATCTGTACTCAAAATTTATGTCGTTTAATCGCGTACGTGAATAACTTCTCGAGATTAAAGTTTGAGCATTTTTAGCGGCTTCGAAACCCGATCACCTTCGTATCTACAAGATAGGCAGGATCCCATAATGGGTAATTGTTGGATTGATTGCAAAAGTGAGGTTGACAGAATTGATAAAGGATGTGATTTAAATCCGTTATATCCACAGAATTTAGAATTGTAATCTCGGTTCTTTTCTTGCCTTTTATATTTCAGTTGCGCGTTTGCTTTTTTCATAAACTTCGAAAGTTTTCTAACTTGTCTCAATATATATATTTCGACCATATATATATATATATGCTTGTCGTGTTGTTTGGTTTCGTTTAGTTTAGTTTCTTCTTTCGGCTGAGTGCGATCTCTTTCCACACGTTAAAAGAAAGGGAAGGGAAAAGAAAAAAAAAAGAAAAAGAAGAAAAAGAAAAGACACGTAAGAGAAGATGAGAGAGGGAAGCAAGGCACGAACGAACAGAGCGGTAGAGTAGCAGACGAGGAAAGAATCATCATTTATCTCCCCCAGCAAAAGTCTTCTCCCACCAGCCACGCGCTCCTCCGCCAGCGTGCCACCCACGCGCTTTTTCTCTATCCAAATCCCCCCAATTTGGCTTCTCTTCTCCCCCCAATTAACCAAAAAGTATGGGGGCGTGAGATTCTTGCATAACTTGTCATGTTAGGAGAGAGCGACACAGACCACTCGAATCGAGAATCGACCGAACCGGATTTTGAATTAGCCTGTTTTTGGTGATTTTTAGGAGTGTTCGATCCGATTTCCAGTTAAGAGGAGAAGCAGACCGATTATTTATTTATTTATTTATTTATCATGCATCCTCTCTTCTTTTCCTATTCGTCTCTCACAAGTCAAGTCACACCTCCTCTGCTCTTTTCCTCTCCTCTCTCACGCACGCCCCCTTTCACAATCCTAATCACTTGGACCCTAATCTCCTTTCAGCCTCGCTCGTCAGTTAATTGCCTCTCGCCCCTTAGACCTCGCTCGACGCTCAGGCCTCTCTTGCTTGTCCCTCTCGTTCGACTCTCAGACCATTTAGTTGACGGAAGACGACTTGGAAGAGTTCTTGCAACCAAAGTTCGACTCTCAGACCATTTAGTTGACGGAAGACGACTTGGAAGAGTTCTTGCAACAAAAGCAGCGCTTCAAAAACCCTCTCGTACTAGTAGGCAAGTCTCGTCCTCCGCCTCATTTCTTGCGAATAGCTTGTTTATCCTTTAATTTTTGCACTGTAGTCAACTTTAAAGTACATGAATTGTAAAGAGCTTGCCGATTTGGGAACATTTTTCTCTTCTTGAAATTGATTAGGGAGTTAGAGGGACTAAATCGAGGCTTAATTGGGGGGGTGATATTGCAATCCCAATAAACGGTTCCATTGGACCCGGCGGTCCGATCTTCGGTTCCAGAAACTAGAAATTGGTCCATCTAGTTCGATTTTATGGTTTCTGGGTGGGACTGAACCGTAAACCGATCACCTTTATATCGTATGTAATTAGCCTTTATACACGCTTTACGCACGTATTTACGGCTGTTTTCTCGCCATTCTCGTAATAAGCCTAGAGATTACAGAAACTAATTAGTACGGCTTGAACCCGTGTGTAAAATGGTAATCACGTCGTGCCCATTTGAAACTCTCAAAGATTGTTGAACTTATGTAGAAAAAAAAAAAAAAGAAAGAAGGAAGGAAAGAAACTTGAAAAAAAAAAATGACGTTGTAAGAAGACTTTTATCGGGTTTACAGTCCACATAAAAATAGCTTGCATGTTGATCTTGGACGATTGACACTGGTAGAATCCAGTCATAAAATCAACTTCAAACTCACATTTTGCTCCTCAAACGGTGAGATGTGTAGAGTTTAGTTTACTCTAGCGATGGACCCAACCATCTTTTATGGCCAAAAAACACAAAAGCACAATCGCTTCAATCATCTCTTATGGCAAAATTGGCATAGGAAAGCGAGACAAAACACTCTTGTGGCTCAAAACCTTGACAAAGACTATAAAGGTGGGTTTTGATCGAGACCATGTCGACATGTAGCCACGTGATTGAAGATCTTGTGGAGGATATAAAAGGGGCAATTTACATTGTGGGCCAAGGCTTCTCCGTTTTCTCTCCTTCGCCACTTGATTTTATGGCGTAGTTGAAGGTGATGGAAAAAAGATCATCGCTTTTAAGATACATTTGTTTCGAGAGAACTGAGTGATTTAAAATGTATTTTTGAAAAAATAATTATTCATATCGTTTAAAAAAATTAATCAACAAAAAATATTTTCATCATCGATAATAATCTATGCTTAATTATTTTCGTGGATGATGAAAAAATTTTTCATATATTTATTTTTCCAAATGATATGAGCGATCATTTTTTAGAAAAATATTTTTCAAATCATTCATTTTCTGTGGGACGAACACACCCTTAATTTCTATAAAAAAGTACTTCCCATATATTAAAAATTTTGTTCTAATCAATGTTAATATAAAAATTAATAAAGTGGACAAGGAAGAATATCGATTGCAAAAAAATTATTAATTATCTACCTTAAAAAATCCCGAAAGAAATGAGATAGATCGGTGCATTCTCAATTACTGTACACTATATGATGAGTTTGTAAATGCTTCACTGAATGAGATTCCATTAAGTATATGAATTTTGACTTAGTCACATATGACGAAACCTCTTATAAAGTTAACGAGATAGATGCACATTACAAATAATAGACTCGCGGCGAAACATTCTCATCGGTAGTAATTGCTAGCAAAGCCGGCATTACTCAATTGTTTACTTAAGTTGAATGATGTGGTCGGACGAAATTTTCTTTTTTATCGGCACAGGGACAGGGAAGGGCAACCACCGAAATCGCCTCTAGGGACGTTATCACAAGAGTTCTGCACTTTTCCCGTAGAAAGATGCTCGATATAACCTATAGTTATTCGGTCTACGCACAGTTATTCAGAATTAGCAAAGACGCCCTGATCGGTCAATCGATTCGAGATTCGCTCGCGACGTGGCTGGAAGCATTCGGAATTTTTGGTCTGGGCGGGAATCGAGCGGGGGACGAGAGGACGCGCGCGCGTGGGCGTCACGCTCGACGGGGGGTGAAGGAGCGGGGCCCGGGGGCGAGTCGATTCCAAAAAGCGAGGGACAACCGGGGGGCCCCACCGAACGGGACTGGCTTCGGCTCGACAACATCCAGGCCGTTAAATCTGTTGACCAAGATCTCGATCACACGACTCCTGTTCCCCCCCCCCGCGGCCCCCCCCCCCCCCCTATTTTTTTAATCAATTTCTCCCCTTAATCCCGTGTCAGCCACAGTTACAATAAATATATAATCTTTAAAAAAAAAATGGTCAATTCCCATTTTGTCCCGACCCGAGGTAGGACAATCCAACCTGATCTCAGCAGAATGATTAGCAAAAGCGACGTCGTCGTACGAAGCCGCCGATCGGTTGACCCCAATCGGTTGGGTTGGGTTGGGTTGGGCCAACCGAGGAGTTCGGTGGCGCCGTGGCTCGTTTTACAAGCCTAGCCGCAAACCGAGTGAGTATTCCAAAAGTTGGTAGCTGCTGTTCCATATTATCTTGTCGAAAGCCCAACCGAAAAAGGGACATGCACGAACGAATTAGTTGATAAACAAATGAAAAGGGCGCAAAGTACGAGTTTAGCGTATCATTAATTCAGATTCCCCGCGATTTCGTAATTTAAATCGGACGTCGCCGGTCCGGCGGCCCTCGTCCCGCGCGGCATTGTACCCGTGTTCCGGGATCGAGAGAGACCGGGTGTGGCCGGATCCGAAGGTCGGGCCGTGCCTAATAATAAATCCGGAGCGACCCGTGACAGGAGGTTCGCGTGAAGATATCCGGGAGAGGCCGTCGGGCGACTCACCGGTGCCGTTAATCACCTCCGATGTGATGCGAGCAAATCGGTATAAGTAGCATCTCTTTTCCGAAAATCCTTTCCTCTCCTCTTTTTGGGATTTTTTTCGGGGGTCCTTGCCGGTGCGGGAAAAAGAAGAAGGTAATTTGGACATTCACCGTCGGGCGATCAACGTGCGAATTAATGAATTCGGCTATAAGGCTTCGTTCGTTTTTGCAGAAAAGGAACGATTTGGAAAACATTTTCCAAAAAAATGACCGCTTATATTGCTTAAAAAAAAAATAAACGAACGGAACATATTTTTATCGTCCACGAAATATTTAGACATAAATCATTGTCGATAACGAAAGCATTTTTCCATCGATCAATTATTTCAAGTGATATAAGTTATCGTTTTTACATAAATTATTTATTTTTCGCGGAATAAACGAAACCGTAAATTTATTTCGAGCAAACAAATCTTCGGTCCAACGGCGAATGCGTAAAAGAAATTGTTCGACGGGATGATTGGGCCCACGCGCAGAAGCAGGTGCAGACCCTTCTTTTGCAGTGCTTGTTGGTCTGGGACCAGCATTTGCTCCAAACAGCAGATCGCACCAAGTCTCGATTTCTCGCCCTTTTGATTCGACTAGACTCGAGCTAAAGATCCTCGTAGAAGCGACTCGGGGATCGCAATACCTATAGGGTCCTTCGGAATACAAGAATGGTACGGCATACACGGACTAACAAAGGCTAGAACCTCGGATCCGTATGAGATGCTCAAACTTTGTTTCGCGCCGAGAGTTCATATTCTCTGCTACCGCGCGGGGCAGA